CTGAATTATGAATTACTTAGCGCAATTTGGCTGATGGATAATTATTCATAAAACACGAACTCAAGGTAAGGAGTGGTCAGGCGTGGGAGGAAACATTAAAAGGAGTGTGGCAGAGAGGTCCAGGTGCCTCCCAATAGCAGTGTCCACTTCTCAGAGCAACCGAACACCTGACTTTTAGCTGAGCATGAGTTCCCAGCTCTACTACAGAGACTGAGACTGCAAGGTTCCCAGCGGCGTCTGCAGCTAGGCTGGGTGTATAACCAAGCTCTCCCTCCAGGATGGGGAAGGAAGCAATTTGTGCAGCTTCTGGAATATTTCCTAGGAGAGAAAAGCAGGCCCTTCTTTCTGCTTCTTCTTCTGTCCTGCTGCTGGGAGCATGAGCTCTGAGGCTGGAGCTCCATCCTGACCCACATTGGTGAGGACAACTCCTCAGGGATGACAGGGCAACAGGGAGAGGGGCCCCCTGGAGCAGCCCTGCCAGGCCGGCCCTGGACTGTCTGCCTCCAGACTGAGCCTGGGAGAGATGCCAACTTCCGTGTGCCACTCTCCTGGGGTGGGGGGGGGGGGCCTTTACTACAGCAGATGAACCTTATCCTGTCCAGAACAGTAGTCTTGAAGGGAACTTTCTGTGTGGTTCCCTTGGGTCAGGCTGCTCCCAAGGCCACAGCTGTCTGAAATGCTCAGCCCTCCTTTCCATGGGGTGACAACAAAGCTTGGCTCCAACCCACTCCCCTCTCTGGGCGGTTCTCTGGAAATTTAATGCATGAAGGTCGATGCCCCCAAGTAAACAAGCCTGGAGGTGGTATCTCCCAGGGCATCCTCTTGTTCTGTCCTCCCACACTGTGCACCCCAACTCTCTCCCAAAGATGCACCTTGTCCTGAAACAGGCTGGGCTGACTCTTTCCCTGCTAATGTCTGCAGATTCTCATGAAATAACTCAGGGAACGAGCCGTCTCATGTGTGGTGTAACTTGATTACCGCTAGAAAGATGAGTTTGGAACTGATGAGTTCCCTGCTAACTGACAAGTTTAAAAGCTGAATTTGAAAAACCAACCAAATTCCAGGCACAGTGTGAGGGCAGAGACTGGGACTCAGTCACGCCTTGGCCTGAGCCCTCAGTCTGGGGACACAGATATTCAGGACTTCCCAGGGGTCTGGCCTTGTCCGTCTACTTTCTGATATGCCCTCCACTCTTATGGAGCCTCCAATTTTATGGGGAAAAGGAACTCTAATGTATACTAAAATATTAAACTTGTTGAAGATACTGTAAAAGGATACATAGTTCATTTGTTCTTTGTGTGTTTACACTAAGTGTCTGCAAAGTGTCTTGTAGGGCTGGTTTAAAATAGAATGTATTAATGGAAAATTTGAGATTCAGTAAGGCCAATAGATCAGGAGACGATACCATTGAAAAGATAGTTTCTTACAGTTCCCAGAGGAGGGGGCACACAGGGCCACATGGGGGTGGTCAGGAGGCAGAGGGAGCAGGGGAAGTGTGGGCAGGAGCCTTTACTGTGGTCTCTGAAGGAAAGAACAATGAGGCAGGGTGAGCAGGCTTAGGACTGGCTGGTCTGAATAATTTCACAGGCTCTGGGGTACAGGGTCTGTCCCAGTTGTCTGGTACCTGACCTGGGTGATAAGGGCAGGGGGACAGTGGCCCAGAGTATGAGTGTCCAATAGAGGAGGTGGTTGGGGTGTGGATGGACACTGGATTGGTTGGTTTGTATTTGAAGAGTGGGCCCACGAAGGAGGCTTCTTCCTGGGGTGGGGGGTGACAAGGGAGGCAGGAGGCCAAGTCGGGGGGATTCAGAACAAGGCATGTCCCACGTATGCATGCAGGACAGATGTTAAAGCATCTGAGCTAGAAACATGGTCCATACGAGGGCTCAGCTCAAATGTCACCTCCTCAGAGGAGCCTTCCCTGCCTACTCCATCTACAGAGACAGCCTTCCCAGCCCAGTATCCCTACCATCACCACTTCACTCCCTTCATGGCGTTCAGGGCCCGGCCCCCTGCTCAGCACCCCGCCCTGCCTCTCCCCACCCAGGGGGAAAGTCCTCACAGGGGCCCCAGGCCCTGCTCCATCTGGGCCTCCACCTCTCTCTCTCCTCCCACCACTGTTCTCCCCCCCATCCCCGATCCCCGAGCCCTGCTCTTCCTCTGCAGCATTTCCACCTTCTGACCTGCTGTGCTCTGCTCGCTCTTTGTCCCCTGCCATCAGGTCGGCTCCATAGGGGCAGCAGAGTTTGTCTCCTTCGCTGAGTCCGTGCCTCCAGCCTAAGTCAGGGCCAGGCACAGAGTGGGGCTCCATAAACAGCGAATGAGCCGACAGCGCTTAGCACTCCCGGAAACGTGCTTGTTTGTGGTCTGCAGTGTTCACTTGCTCAGGGCATGTCACTGAGGCCCTGCTGCCTGCCGGGCTGACTCCAGCCACAGGGCACAGCAGCGGGCGAAGCAGGCAGAGGTCTCCATTCTGATATAGCTGACAGCCTAGTCAGGGAGACAGAGGAAAAATAAGTAAAATATACATAAAGTCAGGCGGTGATATGTACTATGGAGAAAAAGTCAGGAAGGACATTTAAGCAAATTCCCAAATGTATTTAGGGAGCAAGTAATACAGAGGGTAGAGTGTTCCAGGCTGCAAGACCAGCAAGTGCAAAGGCCCTGAGGCCACAGTGGGCTGCATGTTTGAGAGTCTTATTTATTAGTGTGGATTCTTAGTTTTGTCTCAAGTCTGTATTTCACTTTTGTTTGTAATCATTGGTTTCACCTTTCTAGCTAATTAACCTGAGTTCAGCAAATTCTTTTCCAGTGATTAAAGGTAGAAACAGGTGAATTTTGGTCAGTATGCATTTATTGAATGACCTCCCTGGGCCCAGCTGTGTTAGGCACCAGGAGGCTGTGAAATCAACATGGCAGTGTCCGCCTTGACAGCCCCAGTTAATGAAGGTTTCTCCCCTTATTCAGTGATTCTTTTCTAAGGCTGAGAGTTAATGACTTTTTCTGAGGCCCCACCAAAATGTCCCTGTGCACTGATTGATTAGAATAACCTAAACAGGGGCTGGCCCCAGGCCGAGTGGCTAAGTTCACGCGCTCCGCATTGGCAGCCTGGGGTTTTACTGGTTGGAATCCTGGCACAGACATGGCACCGCTCATCAGGCCATGCTGAGGTGGCATCCTACATAGCACAACCAGAAGGACCCACAAGGAGAACATATAACTATGTACTGGGGAGCTTTGGGGAGAAGAGACAAAAAAAGAAAAAAGAAGAAGAAGATTGGCAACAGATGTTAGCTCAGGGCCAATCTTTAAAAAAAAACAAAAAAACATAAACAAGCTCCAAAATGTTGTTGTACTAACAGAATAGAAGTTACTTTACTAACAGTGGCAGTCCAATGCAGGTTATTTCTGATCAGTAGCCAGTTTTCCTCCACGGGGTCTATTCAGGGATCCAGGTCACTTGCTTCTTGTGATTCTGAGATCCCACAGGGCTTAGACCCTTCTGCATTTAGCCAGTGGAGGGAGAAGGAGAGCATGGAAAAGACAAACTCACTTCTTAAATGACCTGGCCCAGAAAGGACATCCTCAATTCCACTCTCACTTCCTTGGAGAGAACTAGTCATGGCCCCGTGTACATGTGAGGAGGGCTTGTAAACGTAGCTCTTGGTGACAGCTCTACATTATGGAAGGTAAACTCGTATTTTTTGGTGGGCAGCAAACCATTTCTGCCACATTCTGTATCCAAATAGCCATATATAAATGGCATGTACCCCTTGCCCTCTCGTGAGAAAAGGCGGGTAGATTCCGGACACTGGAAAGTGGAGTGTCCTGTGGGTAGAAAGGATGGTGTGTTGATCAGATTCACTTTGAATTGTTTGAATATTTTTAATTCCTTTCCTCATTCTGATATTGTTTAATGAAGCATTTTTTGGTAATTATTTTCTTTCATTTAGTAGATCAGTCTCTTGTAACCGGAGAGCATGTCCTCTTTGTAAATTAATAAATCGGCGTTATGGTGGAACAGTGGAAGGAGGTGTGACGGGGCAAGGGCAGCATGCTGCTCCCTGGTGCTAGCTTCATTAACACGTGTTACTTTGAAGAAGCCGTGTAACCTCGCCACTCCTTGGTGTCCGCGTATCTGTAAAATAAAGGACTTGTTGGGCTTTGCAACCCTTTCAGTTGTACATTTTGCTACTTTATAATTCTATCCATCAGTGAGCTGATAATATTGAGTTGCTGGAGTGCAGACTTGAGGGACCCACAGCCTGGACTGAAAGTTCCCACATAAGTATAGCAACTCTTAAAGTCCTTTTTACCATTCCCACCTCTGCAATCTGTCAGCAGAGACATCGTTTTTGAATAGCGAGGCTCGAAGGAAAACAGAGGTTGAATAACAGCATGGTAGCAAGAAAGCCGACACTTGGTGAGAAATTTCCATCAGTAGCAGAAAAGAAGGGTTTTACAGGGGGTGAGCTCATCAGCCCCACCACAGAGCCCGCCTCAACAAGAGAGGGTGATAAATTTTCCCAGGCACTTAGAGTTCATAAAGCAGTCACCATCCACATAAGGAAGGCAGAACGGGCTATTATTTTCATTACATATTTAGGGTTTTTTAAAAATAGGTTTATGGTTCAAACATCAAAAAGTACAAAAAGGCAAATGGTAAAAATCTTCTATCCTACCCTAGTCCCCCACCTGCCCAGTTCTCATTCCTCACCCCTTGCAAAATAAATAACTGCTTATATTAGTTTGTTGTCATTTCAGAGATTTTTATGCACATACATTCTTTTCCCTCCTCTTCTACATATATGACGATATTCATTATATGCTGTTCTGCCCTTGCTTTACTTTGATATACAAGGGAGTTCTTCCTATTGTTTGTAAATAAAGATCGCCCTTTTTGTGTTTTATAGGATGCGATCTATAATTTATTTTACCAGTTTCCTAACACTGGACATTTTGTTTCCAGTCTTTTGTGAACACAAACTATGCTTTAATAATTTAAGTAGAGTTGTGCATAAGTCATTTCAGACACTTACATATGACTATATACGTAAATTCCTGAGAGTGGTAATTTTGATAGATATTTTGAAATTACCCTTCATTGACCCATTTAATAGATGAGGAAAGGTGGTAAGAATTTATTATTGCAAGTCAAGAGCCGTAAACAGCATACCTGCTCACAGGTATGATTTTCCTGAGTCAGAGCTGGGTGGGCGTAACACAGGGGCAGACAGGTTTGGTATTGTGAGCTCAGGCAGGCAGCTGTGAGGGGGGCAAGCAGAACAGCTCAGCAGCTCACCGAAGTGCCAGTGGAAAGGATGAGGCTTGGTGGCATTGTACTGGGAAGTCACAGAGGCAGATGTGAGCTGTGTTACCAGTGTCTGAGCAGGCACCTTGTGAGCCAGAAGCCCAGGGTGTGGGCATCAGCTTGGTAAAAGGCTCCAGAAATGGCAGGTACACAGACATCACAGGGCGGCCTTTGAGCCAGACTCGTTGTGCCAGTCAAGTTCCTGCCACCCACACCTGGATTCACCAGGTCTTACAACAGATAGTGATGGTCATAGGACAGTGGCTGAGTTGTGGCCAACCCACATGTCACTTAAGCCTCAGTGAGGGGTAGTGGGGTAACTTTGTTAAAGTGGAGCAGCCTTGCTTGCACATTTTAAATACTGAAATATATTTATTTATATATTCATTTATATATATACATTTATTTGTATATTCATATATAATTTATATATAATATTCATGTTATTTTTTTACTTATATATAACATAATATTAAATATATTTTAAAATATTTATATATATATGTATATTTAAATAATGGAATATATATGTTTTTTCATGTATTTTATTTTTTAGAGCAGTTTTAGGTTCACAGCAAAATTGAGTGGAAAGTACAGAGAGTTCCCATATATCTCCTCTCCCACACATGCATGGTCTCCCCCACTATCAGCATCCTGCACCAGAGTGCTACATTTATTACAATTGATGAACCTACATTGACATATGATTATCATGCCAAGTCCATAGTCCACATAAGGGTTCATTCTTGGTGTTGGACACTTTATGGGTTGACAAGTATATTTTTCAATTCTTCTCCTTAGTGCTACATTAACTTATTTAATCTTCCAGTAGCCCTAAGAGGTAGGTGCTATTATTACCCCCATTTAGAGAAAAGGAAACTGAGGCACAGTGAGGTTAAGTGACTTGCCCAAGGTCGCATGGCTAGTGACTGTTGAACCGAATTTGAACCAGGGCAGTCTGACTCAGTGTGTATTCTTAACCACTATCTTCTACTGGCTCTAACTCTATTCCCAGCCTCTGGGTTCTCTTTCTCCTTCCCACCCCTCCTCCAAGTGAGAGAAGAGGGTTCTCTCTGCTCTTACTTACCCTGCCTTCCCCTGAGCCTCACTGCCTGTTTGAGGAATCTTTGGGCAACTTCTGCTGTTCTCTGCAGCAGGGGCCCTGGGTGCTGAAGGGCAGGAGCAATGGGTTAGCTGTGACCATGAGCCTGAGGGTTATTTGTCAGGGTGACAGAAGGAGAGGGTAGGAGAGGCTGGGAGTGGTGGAGAGCGGAAAGGAGCAGGTACAGCGACACTGGACTTGGAGTCCAAAGAGATCTGAGATTAAAGGGCACAGTGAAGATTGCAGGAGGGAGGAATGTGGGACGAGTCTCCTAGGGAGACCAATGTCCAGACAGGATAAGCCTTGGTTCTGGGTCACAGCAACAACCAGGCTTTTCACTCATTCATTTATTTGTTGTTCATAATCTCCTTTTATTTGGAGAGAAAATTCTGATAACCAGAGGGTCTTTTGTTTGCTGGACAGGGTGGTGGAGGAGAGTGATGGTTTACACTTTTGGAAGAGCTTGAACACAGCTAAAGTGTTCTGCAAAAGCAAAGGAGAGAGTTTGGGTAGCCCAAAAGGAAGATCTAGAATGGCGCTGTCCAGGATGGCAGCCACTGGCCACATGTGGTTGTTGAGCACTTGAAGTGTGGCTGCCTAACTAAGATGTGCTGTAAGTGTAAAACTCACATCGGATTTTCATGACTTAGTAGGAAAAAAAGAATGTACACTGTCTCAGTAATCATTGCTTATATTGATCATATGTTGAAATGATAATATTTTGGATATATTAGGTAAAACAAAATATATTATTAAAATTAATTTTACTTTCTTTTCCTTTTTTAATGTGACAACTAGAAATTTTTAAATTACATATGTGGTTTGCACTATATTTCTACTGGGCTGTGATGATCCAGAAGGAAGGGACAAGAACCATGAAGACTCAGGACTGTGGGGGAAGGTTCATGAAAGAGGGAAGCCCTGTGGCTGGTGATTAAGAAGGAAGATGTGGGAAAACTTCACTGATGAGGGTTTTTTGGAGGGTAATGAGTGTGGTGTGCAATGTAAGCTCTTACCTCCGTCTTCCCCGTGAAATCTTCAGCAAAATCACTACTTTTTAATAAGCAAATTAAAAAGAATTTCCTTTGGAGAACTTCATGTCTTCTCTCCACGTGACTGAAAGGCTCTGGGTCCTAGAAAACCATGTTTAATTTCACTGGTTTGTATTTGGGGCCTAAATGAAATTAGTTAACTAGAAGAATAGTGTTGAGTGTGATACCCTGCTGCTTTACGTTCTAGGCAATATGGCCAATGAACTCTTAAGAGTTTCTAGATTATCCATGAATCATTTTTACGAGAGAGTAGTTTTCTTCTTTCCCTACATTGTGTTTCTTTCCCTATTAATTTTTGCTAACATGACTGAATTGCAAGAGTTGATTTCATAGGAGGCTCTGAGTCATTATGGGATTTCTGGCTCATCAAATTCAAATTCAAGTCATTGCTAATGTTGCTACCTAATAGTTGCTTGATGGGTTTTGTTCTTTGGGAGTTGTGAAGCCAGCTTGTCAGAGAGTGAAGCTTCCTGGGATACAGCTCTTTTTAATCATCTCTTGTAGCCTTTGCATATCAGATTTGAAGCATAACTGAAAAAGTGTTTGAGGACTGTGGCTGGCATACCCTATGCTGCTTTCTTGACCTGTGAATAAAAAGAAGCTTGAAAACAAGAATTTAATTTGAAGCTTCGTAATTAGGACTGTGGTTGACATTCTGGTGTGAATTTGGGGAAGCAAAATGCTAGAGGAAGCTACAGAGAACTTGAGGGAATAGAGGGAAGCAAGTTAGCTGGCTTTCTAATGAGCCAAATAATTTGTAAAAGTAACAGTAGCAGTAAATTTGAGGTGATGTGGTCTCAAAGGAAAGACTGCATTTTAATGAATTACTGTCCAATTCATCCTTAGCCTGATGCTCCCCTGCTTCCATCTCCTTTTGCAGTATGAAATAATGAGCCTCTGAAAACTAACATAGCTGAACTGATTTTAGAGATTTACCATCTTTAACCCTATAGTGCCGTGTGTGCATGGCTTTCTGTGTAAGAACAGAAATACCAGGAAAATGGTCCAGATTGATTGTAACTGGTGATTTAAAACCCTTGAACTGGGTATAATGTAGCAATAGAGATAATAAATGTAGTGGAGGGTGAGGAAAAGAAGTTGTGTAGGGGCATGAAAAAAGGGACTGTAACAGAAAAAAATGCCAAGTTTGTGTAACCCTCAATAAATATGGATTATGTAGATATGTTTGATTTTCTACCAGGGGCATTTCCCAAAAACTCAGACTTTTAATCTGCTTTGATTTCCAGAGAACATCCCTTGAGTTTTCTATAAAGTTTGCAAGATTTCCCCTGTGAGTTTCCATGATTGCCTTAAGCTTATTTCATGTATTTTATTGGAATCAGGATGATAAATGAATGATTTGATGGTTAAAGTGCAGACAAAGAGCCAGACAATAAGGAAGTCTGCATAAATTCCGAATTTTCTCTTTAATCAAAGGCTGGGTTGGGATTAGAACTTTGGGGTTGGCACAACTGAATTAATCCAAGTGGATGATTAATTTTCTTGCCTGGTTAGTGTTAGCCACAATTAGACAGATTTCAAGGTGGATGAAAGTAATGAACCTGATTTTGCAGTAATCACACAAGAATGTATTCAACCAAATGGCTCTGTCCTTCTGTTTTCCCTGCAAGGATAAAAGCTTATGTTAAAGATGTGGCCATTGGCCAAAACAATCTTTAAAGCCCTCTCTTGGAATTGACTTCAGTGCTTGAACCAGAGTCTTTTTAATAATCTTGGCTGTCGCACATCTTCATCCTTTAGGGAAAGATATGATGTTTGGAGAACATCAAACGGCATTTGCAGCCAAATCTTGTAAATAAGGTGGATGATAATTCTGGAGGATACCCTTTGAGGTCAGAAATCAAATATGACTACGGAATATTGAAAACAATTTGCTGGGAGCTTCAAAACCCTTAAATTAAAATCAATTTTGAAATCAATTCCAATATAGGAGTGGCCAAAGAGTTTCGAGCTAAGGCAGTGCCCTTGGAACACGGAAGTGTAGAGTCTGCCAAGGTGACTGTTCTAAAAGAGATTACACAATTTAGATGTTTGTTTAAAAAATCAATCACATCACTTTATGGGCTCAGTGAAATGTAATAGGAAGGACATGAACAGTGAGAGCCAGATGGATATGCCTCCACCCCTTTCAGCGCCGAGTGACCTTGGACGAGTTATTTAAGCTGTCTGAGCTTCTGCTTCAAAATTAGCAGTTGGAGACAATAATTCCCAGTGGGACTGCTGTGAGGGTTAGAAGCGAAGTGTGTGGAGCACCACATATATTGCTACCCCTAGTGCAGGGTTTGTGCTTATTATTTGATGGGTTTATTTATACCCAGCCGTATTTCAAATGGATTAAAAGTAGCTCAAATGCTTGTTTTCTATCCATACATAGCCTTAGTTAGGAAAGGGTAATATTCATAAATGCACCGTGTGCTCAAGTCGTTTACATTAACATGTGTTTTAATTTTTTTATTTTGCTTTTTAGAAACTAGGTATTGATCTGTTAAATACTAATTATGGTGCGGGCAGAAAATGTACTAATGAATGTTCGGTAGCATTTACAATGATTCAGACACTGAATCAGACACTAATTATTTATGTGTACATTAACTTGTATCATCCAGTAACCCTGGGATGTAGGTACTGTTACTATCCCCATTTTGGAAATGATAAAATTGGAGCATTTCCTGTAAGTTATCTAAAGTCAAAGAGCTAGTAAGTGATGAGACCAGGATGCAAATTCAGGCAGGCTGTTGCCCACACCTGGCCCCTTAACCACTACACAACCTCATTAAGTATAGTGAATGATAGGTTCATCCTTTAGGGATAAATTTGACATTTGAAGAATTATCAAGCACCATTCGTAGCCAACTCCTGTAAATAAGGTGGGGGATAATACTTTAAGGTCAAAAATCGAAAGTGACTAAATATTAGAATGGAATATTGGAAATGATTTGCTGGTAAACTTCAAATTCCATAAATTAACTTT